GGGCAGAACCCTACATGGTGAGGGATTGTGGGGGAACAATTTGGGAAAGTTACAAACTCATTTTTTGTAGTCTTCTCCTTTCCCAGCTCCTCTAGCAGCCAATGTCGTAAGTTGGCAGAAGCCACCGGCGACGTCTTAACCTCAACCGACCTGGAACTGCACGTGGCGTGTCCGATGCTGTCAACTGGGGTTTGCAGCAATGACGAGTCTGCTTTTGCGAAGTACCCGAAATCAGGATTCTCACATTCTTGGGATATACGAGGCAGCGGAGGCGTTGTGGTAAACACCAAATTCCTGCCCCCAAAATAAACAACACAAGATTGTCAAACATGCACTTGTGAGTTCAGGTTGCTGATCTTGTACCACCAGTTGGACGCCCAATACATGTACACGTATATTGCTAAGGAACCCTGCATACACTCATCTAAAAATCTGACAAAAACCTACTTCACTTAGCAGTCCCTAGGAGCGCCTCGTCCAGGCGGCACTCGCCATCCCCATCATCCTGGCAGGTCTTCTCGGAAGCCAAGACAGAAGCCGCAAGGGCGCAGAGCAGCCGCAGCGACATGGCTGCAGCCAGCGCGCGAAAACCAAACTCCCACCAAGAAACGCTGAGGGTTTAAAGGGGGCCCCTACAAAGACTGCTATCCCATTGATAGCGGTCTATATAGCCTGCCATGCTCGTTTAGTGGGGGGTATGGGATTCAGAACAGACTGCCTACATCGATGTGATATCGTGGGTCACATACCCCATGAAGGTGAGACATGGCGTTGCTAAGCACGGTTAACTCTGGCGAACGCTGCGTATCATGTGAGTAGCAAGCTGGCAAAGCTGAGTTGAGCCTGGTGTTGTGAGGCGAGAACTTGCCGTCCAACTCAAGACGTAATAGCTCGACTATGATTGCCATGTCTTTGGCGGCTAGGTTGCTACATGATATGGACCAGAACATGAGCAGCTAGGCGTCAATCCAATCGAATCTGGATGCTTAGGCTTGGTGCGAGGTAGTGATAAGTCGCTGCAGCAGGGGGTATGTTGAGTTGCGACCCGGAAAAGTCCAAGCATACCAGCTCAAGCGCCTCAGAGAAAGCATCATAAAGTGCTGCACCAAGAACATTTTCTTTTACATAGCCAAAGCGTAGGATTCTGATCCCGGACCCAACCCTAGATCTCAAAAAGCCCAGAAGGTCACCGCGAAGCAGCTTTTTAAGCTGAAGGGCTGCGCGTCTTTACGCAAACTTGCTAAAAAACTGAACTCTAAGGATGCCAAAGCAGCCTAAATATTTCTAGATTCGAATGGAATCCAGGACAATTGGGACATAGTTTCTCTGCTCCCCAAACAAGTGGAGACCATCAGCAGCCTCCGCAAACAGATCATTGCTCAGGCTATGACATTCCCTTAGCCCTGGACGGAAGCAGGCTCGATTCTACCCAAAATTGCAGATCAGGGCCAAGGTTTACAGGACTAGGTCCCATGGTGCTTAAGCCCAAACATGTTCTGCATGACTGTATGGAGCCCAGGACGAATGCGGGGACACTGGTGGATCAACAGCCGCAGAAACACTGAGTCTCTAGCCTGATTGCGCACGAAGCGGCAGTTCCTCGGCATGAGGGTTACATCGGTATATTAGGAAGCACTAGTGAGATCTATAAGGGAAATGATCCAGGACCATAGGTATTACCTGATGATAACTTTGGTTTTCCCCACCTAGGGTCCAACAATTTCCTCTCAACAAACCAAGAGACTCCAGACAGCCTGTTCCCACCAAGCGGGAGGAACCAAACAGGATACTGAGCAGAAGCTACCAACCTTGATCCATGCGCAACACATTCGGAAAAAGAGCAGGGTATGCACCTCAAAGAAGCAAAATCTAAATCGTGTGACCCTCATCAGGAAACCATGAAACCTTACACCTTGAATCCTCCAACTCTCGAACACCCACTTAAACCCTAAACCCGAAAACTAAATCAAAACACCCGAAAGCCGAAACACTAGACCTTGAACCCTAAATCAAAGAACACCCCAAAGCCTGAAGCCCCAGCTTTAGTGCTGGAAGAGGGGCATGCCACGCATGGACATCTTACGTGGGCGGCGGGTCTTCTTGATGCCGTTGCGGTGGTTCTGTGGCAATTGGCACTTCCTAGACATCTATCTTACCGAAACTCAAAACCCTAAACAGGGTACTTGGTTTTGTTTACAGAGGATGCGAGGCATGAAGTTAGGAATCCTCGAAAAGGGGTAGCTTATAGGGGTCCAGGGACCCTCACTGCCACAGCTATCACGCATCGCACGATTTAGGGTTTGAGGTTCAGGGTTTGGGGTTGAGGCCAATATTAGTGCGTCAACATCCTTCCTTGAGCACGACTATATTTTGCACACCATGGGCCGGCGCTGTGATCCCTGTCACTGCTACTCATCTCATTATGGTTCTGAATACAGTGGAGGTATCCTCCTTCCTACTGTCGCAGACTGCGTGCATTTTCCCTAAACCCTAACCCGAAATGCGGGGCGGCTGTCAATTTTCTTAGTCCTCTCGGGGTGGTGTTCATAACATTCAACAATATTCCAGGATGCCGGAAGGCCAGTGTAAAGCTTCAGGTTTTGTCGCGGTTTTCTCTTCCAACAGGGCATGATTGTGGACTCGCGAACAAGCATCGATATGATCAGGATCTTTACATAACCGCAATAGAACATGCCCCCTCTCATTCTTCGAGGTCCGAACTGAAAGCTTCATGAAGGCAAACATGGGTTACAGTAAGAAGTCCAGAAGTGGGGAAAGACAGAGCAGTGGCCCTTCTTGATCGCATTCTGCTTCACTATCAAGCTAAGAAAAGACAGATCCTTGTAGATCTGGTTGTGTCCGGTGTGGTTCCTGAGCTGCAAATGCGTGGTCCCCAACTCAGATAATAGCCAAATGGGCTTACAGGCAGGAGGGATTAGCGACGCCACCTTCGCCTTGCAGGGAGCAGTGAGAGACCTACAACATCCTACAGTAGTCGTCTGGTGCCGTGTCCCACAAAAAGCCGACCAGGGTATGGAGTTTGAGAATACTGTTATAATTGTGGGGGTTATTCTTATGTGAGGTTAACATTAGGCAGCATAGCCACGTTGTGGTGCAAAGTAGCTCATACCTCCAACCTTAGACCTGACAACCAGGAATGCAACTGTCCATGGGTTGCAGGAGGACGTTCATAGCACTTCGGGCCATGCAAGGATCGAATAAGGATTGCATTTCACATTTTACCCGGGTTGTTATGTGAAACCATTTCTCAGGTTGCCCCTGCTTCTCAAACGAACGCGCTAGGTCTCATGATAATTCAAAAAGTTGAAGGACTGAGGGCTTCAGGCTGCATGGCCATACCCTAGAAACTACTAGCTTTCTAGTAGCTACATACAGCATTTCAGCAGCAACATATCCTAATATCTAGTAGTATAATATTCTAGTATCGCAGTATCACACTATTCACACCCCCCTACCCCCAATTTAGATTACTATTTACCGCCTTCACCCCCCCAAATTTAATTGGGCCGAGGGACTTCGACTTGGCCATGGCGAAGTGAGAGAAAGGCGCAAAGGCAGGGGGACACTGGCAGATTGCAGGGAGCTTAAGCCTGTAGCAGGGCGGCAGAGAACCTTGAGCCGGGTTTAGGGGTTTATGGGTTTAGGGTTTTAGGGTTTAGGGGTTTAGGGTTTGTCTAAGGGTCCAAGGACGCAAATGACGGGGTTTCAGAGCCCGAATACTATGATATTGATGGTGCTTGGGCCCTAAAACTTGGGTCCTTGGACCCTTAGGGGGATAGAATTTTAAAAAAGTTCTGAGGCTTTCATAAACTAGTGATCACCTTGCGGGGGGTCCCCATAATGAGGATCACATTCTTATTGGGGTCTACTGGGCCCCTATCTATGGAATTTTCCCAAGTTTGGGGGTTTAGGCAGGCTAGAGCGTCCGTAGGGGCCGTAAACATGGGTGAGCGTTGCAGTCGATGATCTTTGCGCGTGAAGCGCAGTCCAGAATCAAATGCCTTGTCATTTCCAAGGTAATGTGGTAGTTTCCCAAAATAAGGGGATTCCCAATAAAGACCCCAATATACTACATATTCCTTCTTATGGGGACCCAAAAAGGTACCCCTAATTTTGGGAAACCCCCCCATGTATGGAAATGAGCCCAACTCCCTGTGATCAGTAGTGACATCGCCTTGGGGGCAATTTTTGGAGGGGGAATGGCCCAGAGGGTTCAAGTACCCAATAAGGTTTTTGGGTAATAGTACTTATAGTACAGGTTTTGGGCAAGTATATGATTATTGGGTACTTGGGCCCTTAGGGTGAGATGTGTACCTCAAGATGAAGCGTTCTAGAAGTCTCTGGCCACTGGTGGCAGAAGCAGGGGCCCCTAAACCCTAAACATTTAGGGTTTAGGGTCTAAACCACTAGTATCCCCTGCAGTGATACTCCCCTATATACTTCCCGTTTGAGGAGTTTAGACTGTAACTCACATGGGCGGGGAGAGTTTCGCCAAAATTTCAAGCGGCTTTAAGGTCCAGTAGTGGTCTCCAGGGACATGAAGGCGCATCCTGCTCTCTGTTCCTGTTTCCTTAAAATTAGGGATACCTTTTTGGGGGTCTCTCCATAGTAAAGATTATAATCTTCGGGGTCTATATCAGGGTGCCCTGTTTTGGGAAACTACCACAAGTTACAGACCTTGAGATTTCCAGTATGCATTGCGTAAGTCTCAATTCTGCAGTTTCGCCTGCAGATGTCGTTCTGAGGGCAGAAAACAGTCCTACATTCTTCCTTTTTCTTCCGGTCCAGCCAATGGTGGTCATTACCAAGCTGGCTAAGCACGCTCCAACTGCTCCGCTTCCGGTCGGTGTGGATCACGGAGTCTCTTAGCTTTGCTTGTGTGTGTGTGCACGCTACTTCTGCTTCTTTTAACCCTAGAAATGAAGTGTAACCTCTGTGTGGTGTAGGGCTCGCATGGTGCTTGCATGATGCGTTGCTTGCTACCTGCGGCTGCGACCTCTCTTCTTGTTGCTGGGGCTTCTGGACCTCAGCGCTTGGGACAATCAACGTAGAACAGGATCACTTATCATGGCCAGCAGCAAACAATTCTACTCTCTTACGAGCTGAAACTCATTTGCCTGCCATACTTCGAAGTATAGTCCGTAGAAAGAAGAGCAGTGCGCAATATCCAAAACTCCATACGCGTATTGCTGAGGATTGGCGATCAAAGCAGATCCATCTGCTTAACAGTAAAGGCACGCGAAACCTGATAGAGCTTCGACAGGCCAGACTGCCTATCAAAGGAGCTTCTGCCAGAGCTTTCTGCCAGAAATCGCCTGACTGCCCTCTACAGCACACTCAGTTACTTCTCTTTTCTCAGGCTACAGTTGCCCGGCAATGGCAGAATGTTTTTTCTCGTCTCTTTTGACCAAGGAATTATTTGGATGTTGGGCACGGAGCGGATTTTGTAGGAGTTTGATAGGAAGCCATTCATTCCCTGTTACCTAAAAAAAGACCCGAAACCCTGAATTGTTCTAGATGATGCCGCGCACTGATAGGCATACCGGGGTTGGGGATTATAGGCAGTCATGACATATGGTCGGATAATAGGAGATGGGAGAAGGGAGCCTTGTTGTACACCCCATAGAGTGCTCCATGACAACCGATTCCTTCATTCCCTGGTAACCCACAGGTAAGATGATAGGATTCCACTCAAAAACCCCTGCCAACGCAAACCCTAACCATAACCCTAGACCAGCGAATAAGGTGTTGGCCACTTAAGGTTTTCTTCTGCATCTATCTGAACTTGCTACAACCCAGGGAAGAATAACATCTCATGCCATATTCGGGACTTTGGCATTCCTAATGGGACATTTCTGAACATGACCCCTATGCAAATTCTGAAAAATGCACTCAGCATCCACTCAAAATCCCTATCGACCCCTAGAGCCTCTGGGGGTTACCTTAGTAATTAGGTGTTATCCTTACTGGAGGTTAATAGGGGCATCTAATCCCTATATAGACCCTCAATACTATTTTCGCTTACTCCTCACGAACCCTAAACCCTACATTACATTCCCTTGTTCCCTACGAACAAAAAACCCTACATTACATTCCCTTGCTCCCTACTAACCCTAAAGCCTAAATACTATATGGACAAGCAATTCAAAGGGTGTTCGACACACATACCCCTATATATAAAAATAAAACATATATAAACAGCTAACCAACTTTATATTCATTCCCTTATTCCTCCCCCCCCCCCCGGTAAGTATTTGAGAAACCGGCTCAGACCGTGCTCGGGAGTCTCGGGACTCGTCCGATGGAGGCTGCTGCTTCCTTGAGTGCTGAGGGTTTAGGGATTATAAGGTTTAGGGATTAGGGTTTAGGGGCTTAGGGAATAGGTCTTAGGGATTAAGGGATTTGGGGAGCTAGGATTTAGGGATTTAGGATTTAGGGAGCTAGGGCTTTAGGGTTTAGGGATTGAGGGCCTAGGGATGCAGGCTTAACAGAGCTCCATCGGGCTGCTGCATGCACCCACTAAGCAAAACTCCCCATTCGAACTTGCGCGTTGCATCTGTGGCATGGGATATGTCTACAAAACATTTGTGCGCCAGAGGAATGTGATGCCCTTGAAGAGCCCCAACAATGAACTCTAAATCACACATCGAACACAGTTTTCGACACACCTGGACTTACACACCTATACTCGGGGCATTGAGACCCCATCCATGGAAAATGAGGCGTGCAAAACAGGAGCAAGGTGCATACAGATCTGCGACTTCCCGATGACAAATCGCCTCCGTTCACAATGATATATCAAAATTATCGAGCTGCGTGTTGTTAGGGGGCGGGGATTATTGCCCGCTGCCTGACAAAACGTACTGCTCACAAGCAGGGAAACGGAAATGGATCCCATTTTAGTTCCCACATAGTCCCTCACAGTAATCCTTATACTCCATATTCCACTAGTAAGCAAACTGGAAGGCAAACGTTCGTCATGGTTGCCAGCATCTGAGGTCCGCGCTTCTTTTTGACGACTTTTACTCTTACTCTCCTGAGCACATAATAAATCGCCAGCTTCCAATTCCACTGCATTCCGTTCCCTTCATTCAGATGCAGCTTTCCTCTGCAATCCCTACAAACCCTGAACCCTAATCCCTTTAAACACTAACTCCCTTTCAACCCTAAGTCCCTTTAAACCCTCAACCCCAAAACCTCAAAACCTATACATGCATTTGCAGCAGAGGTGCCTGACTTTCTTCGTCTTTACTTCCTCGGAGGACTCCTCCTGAGAATCTCGTGGGTCCAGGGGCAGACACTTTCACTTAGGGTTTCACTGCTTAAGAAGGCTTTTTTAAAAAATAATGTTTTACATCAGTACTCATATTAGTATTATTATTATTATTATCATAGTAGTATTAATATTAATACAAGTAACAATATTAGTATGAATATTAATCCTTTTTTATAAAGGGCATCTCTTTTCCATCCCGCAACAGGTCGGAATCTGGGGTGTAGGGCTTGGGGCTCATGGGCCGCTGCACTTCTTTGACACAGAGGCTGGGTACATTGGCGTCAGGGAGTCAGATCAGGAGCAGGCCCCTGTCCAGAAGACTTAGTCGTGGCCCTCCCCCTGATCTCTTACAGCTTGCGCTGCAATCTGCGAAGCTAGCGCACTTTGACACACAGTTCAATTCCTTACCTCTCACATACTTGCCTCCTGTACTCTCGAGCTCTGTTGTCGAAATCGCAAGGAACCTTTGCCAATCCGCCCTTCAAAGAATGTATGCAATTTCTCGACATAATCTAATCTCAGCAGTCTATGTAGTCGGTGCCCTTCTCTTGCTGTTCTGGCGGCTTCTCAAGATAATATCCTGATCCTATAGGCGTACAGCGTTTCATGGGAAACAGTTTCCATCTACCCCTAGATAATTCCTATCATCCCGATATTGCTCATCGGCACCTTGGGGTACCAAAATGGAACCCTACTACACATATAGGCCACTATATACCCCCTATAACCCTAAACCTTCAACCCTAAACCCTAGACATTATGGGCCACCATATACCCCCTATAACCCTAAACCTTCAGACCTAAACCCTAGACATTACAAAGACAGATCTGGGCCTCCTCGGATTCTCGGCTGTCGGACTCCTGCTTCTTCCTGGCGGTCAAGGGGTATAGTCCCCCTTAAGTAGATAGAATATGGGTTATATGGGGATCCTATTATAGTATACCCAAAACCATATTCTATCTACTGAAGGGGGACTATAGTTGTCCTGGGATTAATATGGGCTATATTGTCTAAACTCCCAGTATCCCCCTTAATAGCCCCTACAGTAGACCCCAATGTAATCCCTTGTATAACCCCTGTGAAAGGAGTTTGGACTATGGCTCATATCGGTCCCCTATTAGAATAACTTCATGTAAGCTCCTTATAGCAGCAACTCAGGGAATGTAGGCCACAAATAGTAAACAAAAAACGTTGCATCATTTCTGTTTGGGGCATTGCAGAAGAGTTCGTATTCCATGTTTGGACAATTATTTACCTAGCTGAAAATGCGCACTCTGATGCAACTGCTGCCGGGAAGACTTTTTCGCTGGCGGCCTGCCGCGATCTGCACTACATGTCTGCAAATCCCTTGTCTTGCTACTGATCTGGATCCAAATGAGCCATATAGTCTAAACTCCTAGCATCCTCTGATGAAAAACACCTATAGTAATCCCCTATATAATTCCATATATAAAACCCCTTAAGGAGTTTAGACTCTGGCTCAATTATTACAGGATCCCTTCTCTCCAGATCCGCGCTTGGCCAGGGCCCGAGTCCCGGGCTTTTTCTTCTTTTTGTCTTTGTCCTTGCCCTTCTTCCTGGCTGACGCGCCCAGACACTGTGCTTCTGCGGCTGTTGGCCAAATATTTGCCTGATAACGTTGACCTTGACTGATCAGTTGATAACCAATATCCCCACTGATGTTGCATGCAGCTGTGAGCAGCTGAAAAACTGCCGTTAATGACAGCCCAACTATGAGCAAATTCTTGCCAGGCATCAGTAGTCATTCTCACAATTTCTTCTCTGCAGCCCATAGATGCCACTCAACATGGGATGACTACTTGCAACCTGGGTTCCTGCCTCAACTGGAGAATAGAAAAACCTGCACACTCACTCGCTTTCAATGTCTTCTGCCAAAACAATGAGCCCCTCTCAACACTGGTGGCCTCAGAAAGAAAACTATCAGCCTCAGCATCGTGCTTTTAAGGCATCCTACCCAACCAGAAGTTTGACCGCTTCTCGTTTGCATTGTCAACCGCGGTGGCCTGGATTTGGATCTCGATGGTGTCCTGCCGCACTGGCAACTGTTCTTGTCGTTGGTTCTCTTCTCGCTGGAACTCTAGGTCATGCGACGACTCTCATGGTTATTGTCACAGCTTGAGCGAGCCTGCGCAGATTTGATTTCGTTCGCATGGATTATGTCTCAAGATTCTGGAAGTGTCTGTACAAAGCTTAGAACCCTGGGAGGTGCACCTTCGCGGCCCTTTTGGGAAGAACGTGAGCAACTTACAAATAGTAATAGTAATTAGTAATAGTAATAGTACATCTATCTTGAGCTCATTTGGCATAGAGGGGCCAAGCACGGAAGGCTCATGAGAAAAGCGCAGCAAAGCCCCCAAGTAACCTGTGCAAACCCTCACACCCCAAACCCTAAAATGGCCCTACAAACTTCAACAGCCGCGTAAGGAAGTAAGGCCTGTTCCCAAAAGTCCTAACTTAGCTCCAATCTAAAACCCAACACTGCCCTATCCCGATTAAAACTAACATGTTTAGGGACTGCAAGGAACTTTGGGTATGGGGTCCCAGACACATCCTATGTAAGCCTTCAACCCCAAACCCAATACCCTACCGGCTTAAAAAGCCTACGCCATGGACCCTACAATAATCCTGCGGATAGTCCCTGTCATCCCTTCCCTCAGTCTCATTCCCTACTGACAGTTGATACTAAAATTCCAGCATTACCTTCTGAACTTCTTGTACTACATATTCATACTTCTCAACGTTTAGAGCACTTAGCAACACGCAGGCCTTTCTAATATCAACCCTATAAATCCCTATGTAACCACAGTTTCTGTTCAAATTTCTATTTTCCTGTCCATTTGATTTTCCAGCATTGGGGATTATCTCCCATAATTCCTACGTAACCCCTACACCCTGATCCCCAAACAGGATCCACCGTAATCAGCCCTACACCCCAAACTCCACAAACCCTAACCCCAAACCCCAAAATCCCCAAACCCTAAACCCCCCTAAGCATCTGTGTGCCGGCCTCTTGCTACCCGGAGGGCGCTTGCCTTGAAGGCGTATCTCCTCCGCCTGGGCTTCGGCTCCCGTTAGACTTACCTTTGGTTAGCTAGGAATGAAAGCATGAATCCTTATAGTAGTCCCTATAAAACCCACTATAGCAGTTTCCAGGTTTTTTTCCATTCCTTCACTCCCAGCTAACCAAAGGTAAGTCAGGACCTGTAGGTATGCCTACAGACTTTGTCTTCTCAGTTTGGGGCGCCTGTGCATCTACCTAATTTAGACTGGTGTGACGTTGGGGTGTCCTGTTTGGTAGATGCCCTAAATAGGGTTACCCCAATATAGGCCCCAATATGCTATAATCCCTATTTTGAGACCCCCAGAAGGATACACCTAATTTTGGGAAACCCCACATTTCCAGAGTATCTAATAGGTTTAGGGAGGTTGGCACTTAGGGCCCAGTGAGCCCTCACTGGTCAGGCCAAGCCCCCCCCACCATCACCCTGTGCCTTTTTTTCTGTGGCTATCAGTCTTGCGGGTATGTGGGTTGTTCTCAAAATTATGGGCCCCTGTCGGCAATAGATTTTATTACGGCACCTACTATTTAGGGTACCAAAATGGGACCCAGTTTTGGCAATGCGTTTTGGGTGCCCATGTACGATCATTGCAACGGTAAGGTATTCAGGCTCACTCAGCACACATGGAGCGATAGCACAATTTATTTGCACCTCTACATGACACAAGACTCACAGAGTTCCTCCAGATCAAGCTAGAGCTGATTAACAAACAAATGGTAGCTGTTCAGCATACCAGTCCTTGAAATGGCTATGGGGTACAGTCCCTTCTTTGGCTGGGATCTGGCTTCAAGGAAGAGCATCCCTCACGGTCTTTTCTGTAAAGGGACTAACCATCGTGAGATGGTAAAGATAATTTACTGATTCCAGCTCCAAGAATTAGGAACCCATAGCTTACGGTTTAATCAAGTTTTTGTGGTGTCGTTTTACACGGTTTAAGGTCTAGGGTGTCGGGTCTCCTTCAGACAAGCCTTATTATAACTCCTTAAAACTCGAAACCCTAAATAACCCTACACCCTAAAACCCAAACACCTTTACCCCAAAACCCTTCCAATTCCTCCCCGGATAATCCCTAAATATTGTCCTGGGGTTGGCACCTTGCGCGCCTCTTCTTCCTTCCGCGCTCTCTCTTCCTCACGCCGGGCCTGCGGAACAAGGCGCCCTTGCTCTCACTACTTTAAATGCTTTTACTCCTACTCTTACTCTCAGTCTTACTCCTTTCTCTATTCTCACGTTGCCTATTACTATGACTATTGCGGCAGTGATCACTTTTACTATCACTGTTGCCCATACTGTTGACTGTACTGCTGCTTTCACTCTTGCCATTGCTGCTACTCTTTGATACTCTTACTGTTTCCAGTACTGCGACGATCCGAGTAGGAGGGGGCTCAAGGCGAAGAGCGAAACCCTAAACCCTACAGCATAACACTTAAACAGTAAGGGCTCAGGGTAAGTTGTCGGTCATGAAGCCCTTACGAAGGAAGGGCCTCCCCCCCTCCGCCGCAGAAAGCCCTGGGCCTGATGAGGGTGAGGGTTTAGGGGTTGAGGGGTTAGGGATTTAGGGTTTAGGGGTTTTGGGTTTAGGATTCAGGGTTTGGGGTTTAAGGATTCAGGGTTTAGGGATTTAGGGGTTTAGGGTTCAGGGATTTAGGGTTTAGGGATAATATAGGTTTAGGGATTGAGGCTTTGAGGATTTAGGGTTAAGGGCTCTGATGATAGCAGTTTACAGTCGTGATGGATCACGGAGGCGGCGACCAATGCGCGTAGTACCCAGGAAACCATGCTCATAAAATGGCATTGTAACCAGGACAAAGATCCTGCTACTAATGCAACCTATGAGTGCCTATCCACCACCCAACAAAACGCTCGGCCAAACTCAAGCCCTTGAAAACCATAACTACTTAGAGTTAATATTACTGTTTACTGTGACTTATCACTATTCACTATTACTCTTCACTCTTCACTCTTTACTATTACTACTAACTGGATGCCTGGACGGCTTCCTCCTTCCGCTTCAGTTCGGCCTCTGCGGCCTCCTTATCTACCTGCTCATGTTCTGGGATTTTGGGAAATGCGAGTTTGTACAACTACTCAGCATAACGTGCGGGCAGAGGAGTTTGGGTTTAGAGTTCCAGCAGGAGCCTCTCCCCAGTCTTCACATCAAAATGTGCCCGAAGGTGCACGGCAGAGGCTGTGGGGGATGACCAGGTGTTCGCTGAAAGGTGCAGCACGCCATAAGCAACAGCTTCAAGATTCCTTGTCGTTTTTGTAGATCGTTCCTTACGGTTGGAGTGTTACAGATTGCATGTCAAATTTACACCTGGAGCCTAGGTACTGTAGAGTGTCAACCATGTTGCTGCGCACTGCCTTGGGGTCAGTGCTCCTCCGGGATTGATTGCAGGGCGATCTTGCAGGGAGAACTTTGGCACCCTTGACGCTTCCGAAGCGCCCCGTCTTGGCACCTGACTTTGGTTCAAATCCCTCATGGCTCGCAAAGCCTCATGAATCCTAGATCCAGTTTTGAAGTCATTTTGAGGCATGCCTTGTCTGCTTCCCCGAACACTCAATCCACGAAGCAAGTAGCCAACGTGCGAAACCCGAAATAAGAGATTAGAATAATCCTTCCCCCCGAATAACAACCCCCCCAGTCCTCCTACTAAAGAACCCAATATGAGCTACAGTCTAAACTACTAGTATCTCCCTTAATCGTCCCTATACTACTCCCCAATCTAATCCCATATATAACCCCCTATAAGGAGTTTAGACTTTAGCTATATAACCCTAATCCCCATTAACTACCCTATAATCCCAGTTTCCATTTCATTTTCCATGTTCTTTTCCCATTGATTCTCCATTATTGGGGTAATATCTCTAGATACCCCCTTAAAAGGACCTAGTGTTTCCATGTCATTTTCCATTTACTTTTCCGTTTGATTCTCCGTTATATTAGGGGTGAACCCTCAACCATAAGTCCTAAATAGCAGTTTCCATTTTCTTTTCCATGATACCGTGACATTAGGAGGACTAGAGTAGGCTCAAAGCTAGCACGCAATGGTAAGGCTACAAGGCCCTGAAATGGCCTGACGTGAGGCGAGCTGCTTTTGCAGATCTGTGGCCCACCTGAGCTAAAGTCTAAGCTCCTTAAAGGGGTTACATAGGGGATTATAGGGACGATTAAGGGGGACAAAAGCTCACCTGAATGAAGCCCATTGAAAAAAGAAGGCCAAGAGGGAAAGGGCAGGGGAGGGGGCAGGGAGGGAAAGGTGCCATGAATAGTGGTCCGGCCCTGAACCCTTAGGTGACTCGTTCAGCTTCAGGCTTTAGTCCGAAAATCTTGCAACAGCCAAACTGGATGAAGGCACGACAGGGTAAGGACACTAAGTCCATGCGGAACATCTTGAGCATGCTTGAGTCTGAGCTGGCACTGCGTGCGCCGTGTTGTTCAGCTTCGATGGTCATGCAACCTAGCTGCTTCCCAGCTGTGTTAATTGGGTTCTCACGACTTACATGCGTGAATATTCCCTGATGACTTTGAACAGCTGGATGGATTGTCAGTGTTTACTCAAGCTGGAATGAGCACAACAAGAGGAAGAACTGCACTCAGATTGTAGAATTATTCTTCCAGGTCTCCTCACTTCAGCACAAGCGTATCTCGGCTCTCTTCAACAGCTGCAGGGCTCCGCACACTCGGGCCGGGCCCAAATGTCCCTTCAATGCCTAAATGCCGTCACCAAGATTTCTGCAAGCTTCTGTGGCCTGGTCTCATGTATAAGAGCCCCCACCCTTCCAGTAGCAATAATGAGGTTTAGAGTTTAGAGGAAAATTGAAAATGTCCCTTTCAGCACGACTGCGCTTAAGGCCGAGCTCGCCCCATCCTAGAGGCCCGACAGGAGAAATTAGCTCTGAAGAATCCTCTGCTGTGTGGATCTCAATACCTCCGCCGCATTTCCTATATTGCTGTGTGGGATAGATACTATCTACGGTAGGTGTTCATAAGGGTCCTAGTACTACTTCAGAATCTTTTAAGCTTCTGCGTTGTGGCGCCGATCTGAACCCGAGCGCCCCGCTGGTCAAGTGCTTCCTCGGCGGTTTAGGGTTTAGGGTTTAGGGTTTAGGGTTTAGGGTTTAGGCTCATGCCATTTTCGGTTTTAAGGTTTCAAGTTTGGAGCGTGGGTTTTAGAGCTGGGGGCTCCGAATTCAGGATTGGCTTTGATCTGGACTGGAGGTTTGGAAAGACAGGAATGGAGGAAGCCCAGGTGAGCAACATGAGGCAAGGCTGCGCAAAAGAGAGCGAAAAGTAAGGTTATGCAGCAGCGAAC